ATTTATTTCTCCTCTAATCCTTATTATATCCCTTCTTCTACTGACTTAGGGTCTCATTTGTTCTTCTTTTTCTAGTTTCATTAATTGTGAGTTTAGACTGTTCATATGGGATTGTTCTTTCCTGAGATGGCCTGTATTGCAATATATTTCCAGTATATTTCCCTCTTAACATGGCCTTAGCGGCGTCCCACAGATTTTGCGGTGTTGAATTATTGTTGTCATTTGTCTGCATATAAATGGCTTAATCTCTGTTTTTATTTGGTCATTGATTCATTGGTTATTTAGGAGCATGTATTAAACCTCTCTGTGTTTGTGGGATTTTTCATTTTCTTTCCATTATTTATTTCTAGTTTCATACCTTTGTGGTCTGAGAAGCTGGTTGGTACAATTTCAGTCTTTTTTAATTTACTGAGTCTCTTTTTGTGGCCTTGTGTATGATCTATTCTTCAAAATGTTCTGTGCGCACTTGAGAAGAATGTGTATCCTGCTGATTTGGGGTGTAGAGTTCTGTAGATGTCCGTTAGGTCCATCTGTTCTAATGTGTTGTTCAGTGCCTCTGTGTCCTTCCTTATTTATTTTCTGTCTTGTTGATCTGTCCTTTGGAGTGAGTGTTGTGTTGAAGTCTCCTAAAATGAATGCATTGCATTCTATTTCCCCTTTTAATTCTGTTAGAATTTGTTTCACATATGTAGGTGGTCCTCTGTTGGACACATAGATATTTACAGTGGTTATATCCTCTTGTTGGACTGACCCCTTTATCATTATATAATGCCCTTCTTTATTTCTTGTTGCTTTCTTTGTTTTGAAATCTATTTTCTGATACAAGTATGCAACTCCTGCTTTTTTCTCCCTATTGCGTGAAATATCTTTTTCCATCCCTTCACTTTCAGTCTGTGTATGTTTTTGTATTTGTAGTGAGTCTCTTGTAGGCAGCATATAGACAGGTCTTGTTTTTTTGTCAGTTCAGTAACTATGTCTTTTGATTGGTGCATTCAGACCATTTACATTTAGGGTGATTATCGATAGGTATGTACTTCTTGCCATTGCAGGCTTTAGATTCTTGGTTACCAGAGGTTCAAGGGTAACATCCTTACTAACTAAGAATCTAACAACTCAGTTAGTATGGTATTACAAAGACAATCTAAAGGTTCTTCTTCATTTTTTTTTCTTGTCCTTTTTCCATGTCCTCCATTCTTTATATATTGGGCATCATATTCTGTATTCTTTGTCTTTCCATTGACTGACTTTGGGGTAGTTGATTTAATTTTGGATTTGCTCAGTAATTAGTTGTTCTACTTTCTTTACTGTGGTTTTATTACCTCTGTTGACAGCTATTTAGACTTAGGAACACTTCCATCTATAGCAGTCCCTTCAAAATACACTGTAGAGATGGTTTGTGGGAGGTAAATTCTCTCAACTTTTGCTTATCTTGAAATTGTTTAATCTTTCCTCAAATTTAAATGATAATCTTTCCAGTAGAGTATCCTTGGTTGAAAGCCCTTCTGCTTCATTGCAGTGAATGTATGCCACTCTGTTTTGACCTGTAAGGTTTCTTTTGAGAAGTCTGATAGCCTGATGGGTTTTCCTTTATAGGCGATTTTTTTTCTCTCTCTGACTGCTTTCAATAGTTTGTCCTTCTCCTTCATTTTAGCCATTTTAATTGTTATATGTTTGGTGTTGTCTTTGGGTCCCTTGTGTTGGGAGATCTGTGCACCTCCATGGCTTGAGAGATTATCTCCTTCCCCAGATTGGGGACCTTTTCAGCACTTACCTCCTGAAAGACACTTTCCCTTTTTCTCTCTCTTTTTCTTCTGGTACCCCTATAATACGAATATAGTTCCGTTTGGATTGGTCACACAGTTCTCTCAATATTCTTTCATTCCTATATATCCTTTTTCCTCTTTGTGCCCCAGCTTCTTTGTATTCCTCTTCTGTAATTTCTCTTTCATTTATCGTCTCCTCTACCATATCTAATCTGCTTTCAAATCGCTCAATTGTATTCTGTAATGATTGAATCTCCATATGGAATTGTTTCCTGAGTTCTTGAATATTTTTCTGACCTCAGTGAACATTTTTTATCATTTTTATTTTGAAATCTCTTTCAAGAAGATTGATGAGATTAGTTTCACTTGACCCTTTTTCTGGTGTTTGTTGAATTTGTCTGAACCAGGTTCCTTTAATGTTTCATATTTTTATGTGGCGCCCTCTAGTGCCCAGAAGCTCTGCTATCTGAAGCTGCTCAGCCCCTGGAGCGATCTCGGAGGTGACAGGGGAGCGGTGCTGGTGCCTGGGGTGACGAAAGGGTTGTTTCCTTCTTCCCCGCTACTATGCCTCTTTCCACTGCCAAACCTGTGGTCTGAATACACTGGTGAAAGCCTCAATGCTTTGTGTTTGTAGCTTCTGTAGGTTGGGCTTCCCTCTGGCTGGCCTGATGCCAGGGCAGGGGCTTCTGGTTTGTCAGCCAGGTGCGGGCTTGCCGGGAGGAAGGCACAGCAGGCTGCTATCGTGGTGGGTGGCCTTGGAGCTGCGTAGGCAGCCAGGGGAATGGAGTGCCTGAAGCTCCTGAAAGTTCCCAAGCTGCTGGGCAGAGTGTACCCAGACAATTCTGTCTACCTGTCTTTTCTCCTGAGCAGCAAGCTCTGTTCAATTCTTTCCCCTTTATGAGCCTCTCGCTTTTAGGAAGTCTCTCAGAGTGCCGGCTTTTCTTTTTTCCCAGAGCAGCCGGATATGGATTCCTGTTTTCCACAAGTGGCTGTAATTTCAGTCTTTCCAAGTCTTAGCTTTCCAAGCTCCCTAATCACCAGAGCACCATGCAATGTAGGTCTGTGCTTCAATGCAGACCTCCAGGGCTGGGTGTTCAGTAGTCTCAGGCCTCCACCCACTCCCCGCTCCATTTGTCTTCTTCCAGCTTGTGAGCTGGGGTGGGGGAAGGGCTTTGGTTCCACCAGATCAAGGCTTTGGTACGTCACCCTGTTCCGTGAGGGGTGTATGCAGTCTGGCATAGCCTTCTTTACTGTTTCTCTTTCAGAATTAGTTGTACTAATTATATTTTCATGTTATATGTGATTTTGGGAAGAGGCCTCTGTCTCACCTCTCATGCCGCCATATTTGATACTCTCTACACTTTGTTTTTTTGGGTTTTGTTTTTAAACATAATTGTATTTTAGAGTTTGTCCCATGTCTGAAGGAAAAGAGAAGTTTCTTTCCATTTTGTTTTTATTTGTTTTATTTGGGTAAATGCACCAGAATCTATTGTATGGATTTATCATGATTTGTTTAACCTGGAACATGCTTTTTTTTCCTTATAAGTGTAGACATTTTTTCTTTGATTTCTAAAAGAAGTGGCCTTTAAAATCTGTGTAGGAAATTATTTAAAAATACTTGCAGAACATCGTCAAGTGTTTTATAACCCTGTATCTGTTGCCCCCAGCACAGGAGAATTATAGAGCTTGAAAGATTGTGACATTCTAGTCCTACTTCTTCCATTGCTAGCTGAGCAGATAGGACTAAGGGGGTTAAAGGTTTTGCCAAGAGTAGGATAGCAATTCAAATCTTATGTTGTTCATTTCAAATTATATAAGCACTTTATGAATATGTGCTCCTTACTTAAAATAAATACATATATATGTATACAAGTTTAAATTCTTTTGAATACCACTGCCATTCTATTCTTAATGAACTATTCTTTCATTCCCCATCTCTGGGGTAATTTGTTAACAATTTGGAAATCCTTTTTCTTAGTGATTTTGTGCAGTAAATATACATGGTCTGAGAAGATGTAGTATTTCATAGATTGTTTTTTGTTATGCTTTGTTTTTAAAAATAAATGGTCTCATACTACATATATTATTCTGCAGTGGGCTTTTGTTAAAGGGATATACCTTGGGTCTTTCCACATGATCTGGTACCTAGATTACTACCCCATTTTAATTCCAGGCCTGCATGTTTTGAATGATCCATGGCTTATTTAGGTGGTTTCCAGCACAAGCTTTTTCTGGGGTGGATTCTGTGAAGGAGGAGTGGCAATGTCAGGATGTCTCAACACTGGAGTCAGTCCTGCTGCAGAGCTCTTTGAGGGGCCGTACCTCATGCTTTCCCAGGAAGGCTGGGAGCACTCATTCCCCACCACCGGCCCCAGAACTGGCACTGCCAGGCTCCTTATGGCTTGACAGTCTGAGGGGTGAAAAGGCTATCTTGTTAAGGTTTCAATTCTCTTTTCCTTCATTTCTAGTGTTTGAACATCTTTCCTTTGTTTTTTGTTCATGTGTTTTTCTGCTAGTTGGTTATCTCTTTCTTCTGACTTAAAGGCATTTTTATTTGTTATTCTTTTCTTTGTTATATATACTGCCAGTACATTCTGCTATCATGCTGCTTATCTTTTATCTTTGTATGTAATACTATTGTTATAAAGAGGTTTTAAAATTTTGATACAGGCTTATTGATCTTTTATTTTTGTTAGTTCTTTTATGTACTTTTAAAGGCCCAGATAATCTCAAGATTTCACTTTCCTTTATTGCTTTTATAATTTTGTTTTTACATTGAGATGTTTAATGTATCTGCTGTCTTATTTTTGAATAGTATAACATAGGAGTTACGTTTTTTTTTAGTAGTCTCTCACAAATTTGAACTTTCCACATTATAAATTGCTCTATTTCTTCCAGTATCTTATTTATTCATATGCTAATATAATGTTTTAATGACCCTACCGTTATAATGTATATTTGTTTTCCATTTGTTTGTCTCACTTTTTCTTTGTACAGGGTTAGGAATACAGCTTATCAAATTTCATTTAAAAAAATCTTAGTATAGTATTGCTTGAAACTGCATTGAATTTATAGATTTGTTTCCTCTTGGGCATTTTTATGTGCCTCTTAAGGATATTTTTTCTTTTGTTTTGATGACTAGAACTTCGGTTTTATCCTCTCTGTTCACAGTTACTAAATGTGGTGTTTTTTTCTAAATGTGCTAATTTTGTTTTCCAAACATTTTTTTTGCTGCAGATTATAACTACACCAACCAAAGCATATCAACTTTGGTCTCGACCAGTACCAAAATTAAGCCCAGAAATGGGGAGCTTTGGCTCTGTGCACATTAAGAATTCTAGCAAATTAGATTCTGATATCTTAAATGAGCCAATACCACTTGAGATGAGTGAACAAGCTTTTGAGGCCATTTCTGAAGAGCTTAGAATGGTGCAGGTAATTTCTTAGGTTTAGAAAAAATAACTAGACATTCATTTAAAAATTTTTTCTATATTATTTTAACTCTCTAAAATTTGTAATGTTCAAACTGTTTGGTATTAAAGTGGTATCTTTTTAAGTATGGATGTGTAAAGGTACCTTACTTAAAAACTAGCCTACTCTTGTTCTTTTAATTCACTTTGCAATGTTTATTTAGCAAGTCACTCTGCAGCCTCCTTGGACTTTGGTTCTCTCATGTGAAAAGACCAGTTTGCCATGAGCTTCAAATTACAGAATGATTTATATGGCACAGTGTTGTATCTGCTATAGAAAATTAAAATAGTTGAGAAATTTAAAAAGTTGAAAGAATTTTATTACAGATCAAATTTTAGATAGCTTTGGTGTAGTGGGAAATTTGTTTATCTTGAAATGCTGGGGATTTATTTTTTTACAATGTTTTTCTACCTAAAACTTAGAGGAGCCAGACTACCCCAATTCCAAGATTTTGCCCTTTCTGAGGCATAGAGCCCTTTCTGATAAAGTCATGCAGCCCTGAGAAAACTTAAAAGTTGCAAAATGATTGTATGATTTAATCCATTATTTTAATCTTAAAATTAAAGATTAAATTCTTTATATATCAAACTTTCCACTATAATGCACCACAAGTGTAATTCTGAAATAGGAAAAATAATTATTGTAGTCTTTTGAAACTGTTTTCTTGCTCTAAACTGGCCTTTGATATTTTTGTGCATATGAGATTTTGAGTTTGTTTTTTTTTATGCAGAAGAAATGGTAAAATGTTTGAGATTTTCATTAAAAGAATTTTTGACAACTGGAGTTTTTATGTTGCAGGAACAAATGAATGTCCTTCAAGTTAAGTTGGATGACGAAGAACATAAAAACCTAAAGCTTCAGCAGTACATTGACAAAGTAGAGCATCACTCAGTACAGATGCAGGAGGTGAGACTGAGAGTATGGCCTTGGAGAATGAATGAACAGATCCTCAAAGTAAGTGTTACAGGCAGAAAAGGACTCCACAGAGTGTTAGTCAAGTCTTATTTGAGTGGTACTGTCTACTCTGTTGCTTGGCTACTGCTCTGATAATGAGACACACACCCTAGTCTGAATACTGGCCCATGTAGTTGTTAGTGCAAATACATCCCTTGCTATCTGTTTGGAAGGAAGCAAGAAGGATGGTCCAGGTGCTTGAAAGTGACTCTTTTCTTGTTGGCTGTTCTCACTGCAGTTCATGGGAGTAACCAATTTTCTTCTGGTCAGAGACCATAAACTCAATTTTGAAAACAGAAACAAGGTAATGATTTGGAATGCATCTTAGCATGCCAGTATTGATTTTCCAGCAATTAGATCTGTTTCCCAAAGTTTTTTTGGTCAGAAAGAACTAACTGGACCAAACAAGCAGCAAGAACATCTCTCACAGTTGAATGTCGTTGAAAAAAGCAGCTCCAGGACACGCAAGCTAAGAATGTAAGTCTGAACAGCTGGGCACTTTGTAATTTGAACCTGTAACTCAGTATCTTCATATTCATCTGAATAAATTTTGTCCCTATAGCTTTGGTTAGTTTTTGTTTTTGTTTATTGGATCAGACTTGAATTTCATGACAGTGGTAAATGATAACAACATACCATGAAGGGCAGTTTGCTCTAGGACTGCTCACAGACAAATGATGCAACTGTTTGCTTAAAGTTTTAATACTGCTTTGAAACTGAAGTGTCTTAAATTTGAAAGGTGAATAATATTTTAACAGTGACAAAATAAAGTAAAATTATATAGTTCTATATATTCATACATATGGGAGTATCATTTGATTCCCACTTTTTTTCAGCTTATATCTCCTTTCATGAGAATATTTGCAGTAGTTTTTAATAAGTCTAAAACAAAAAAGACAGTCATCCTATTTTCTTTGATCAAAAAAGTTAAGTTTACTTTCAATTGGAGTTTCCTTAAAGATCAGAAGTATTTAACTCATTTTGGAAAGTTCTAGAGCATTGCCCAGAGGTTTTCAGTAAGTAAGCTTAAGTCACTTCTGTCAGTTAGATGTAGAAAAGTCAAGTTATCTACAAATCAGGGGCAAATGTCAACTCTTCCTTTTTTGGTAGAAATATACCAAAAAGCACAAGCAAGGGAAATAAAGAAAATAGAAATCTCAGTGCTCCTTGGTACCTACCGAAGTTGTTCTATATCTGTACTTAAAATAGTCTCTTCAACTTTTTCCTGACTGTGTGAAGGTACCCATAAAGTTTATTTGCCTACTTTGTAAAAATGTATGTAAAGAAACCTGTTGAGGATTTATTTTGTTTATTTTTTAGTTTCGAAAAGTGAAGTGCATGACCTGCGAGTAGTTCTTCATTCTGCAGACAAGGAGGTCTCTTCGGTGAAACTGGAATATTGTTCATTCAAAGAGAGTCAGGAGAAAGAACTCAATAACCTTCCTGAAAGACACATGCACATATAGCTTCAACTCGATAATGTCAGGTAGAGTTGTTCAGGTTTCATGTTCCCTGTTTGGTGTGTAACCTAGGACTACTTGAAGTGCAAGTGCTGTAAGCCCAACTCAAACTAGTAAAACAAACAAAAAGGTAATTTATTAGTGCAGAGCCTTGGGAAGACCCAGGGTGATTTTGGTTTCAGGGACAAACTAGATTGAATCTCACATGATACTTTCAGTATATACTCTCTCTCTCTCTCTCTCTCTCTCTCTCTCTCTCCCTCTCCATCCCTGCTCTGCTTTCCTCTGTGTGTTGCCCTCACTCTTTACTACTGTTGAGGGTCTTCCTGTATGTGACAGGGAACAGATTGCCTCAGACAGCTCCATATTTTGTCTCCTAGCAGAACAACCACTAGAAAGAAATCCTCTCCCAACAGCCATGTATCCATCTCAACAAAAATGTGAACTGCTCTTGCTTGAGCAATTCTTTGTACTCATCTGATTATCTTCAGACCAGTCACTTATCAAGGGTTTCAGGTGGTACTGGCCTAACATAGGTGATGCTTCTGTTCAGAGGGACAGCTGTTCCTAGAAGGGACATAACAAGGTGGACCAAATCAGTAGTTGTCACCATTGTCCTTAGTAACTCTCCAGAGGCTTGGTGGTTAGTCATGTGCAGGTTATCTTAAAAAGGAAGTAATCTAAGAGGTATATTGTTTGTTTTTACTGTTTTTCTCCTTGCTAATTTCAGTCTTGTATAAACAAGATTTGTATTCCAAAAATACAAAATGGTTTTAAGCTATCTCCTGGCAAGAATTTAATAATGGCCATTTTCAATGTGATGCTATGAATGAGGTGTGAGTGTGACTGTTCACACTAGAAAAGCTACTAATAGGTAACTTTGAATTTCATTTTTATGGAAGTCGCAAAGATTAAAATCTTTGGCTCTTGAGTGTGTGAGTATACAATGAAGAATTAAAATAGAAGAAGAAAACTTGAGATCTATGGGCCAAATCCATTCATAGCATGTTTTTGTTAGCTTGGCTCAGTGTGGTTTTTAAGAAGAATTTAGCATAGCATTTTTAGAATTGAGGGCTTTCTTACAAAAATGGCTATATCAGCATCTTAAAAATCAGCCAGTTTATGGCATTGGGTCCACATTTCTGTGTGGCAACCATAGGCCTCTGTGTGGATCATTCCTCTCTAAAGGGGTGTGTTCTGAGTAGCACAGCCTCCACCACCCCTGAGCGGTTTCCCCAGTGCCAAGGCTGCTGCTGATCAGTTGCCGTTTGCCATTTGTCATCACAATTTGTTTTTTCATACACCTGACACTTGTTTCTAACATCTGAATCACTGAATCTAATCTTGGCTTTGTCATAAACTGATCTTGTGTGATTTTTTTTTAAAAGTCATTCTACTAATCTCATTGAATCTTAATTTCCTCATGTTTATATGTCAGAGTTGAACCAAATTTAAAATGTTAGGAATCCACTATATTTGGCCATGCACTTAAAGTCTGTCTTAAAAATATCAAACACTTCCTTGCTTTTTAAGTTAGACATAATTTTACTTTTCTCAATGTCTCAGGTTTAACATTGAGTACAACACTTATGCTTATCCATCATGGCTCTCAAAGGTTGCTAAGGCCCCTGCATGAAACAGCACAGCGCAGCTATGTGTTCTTGAGTTATTTTGCCTGGTTTATATACACAGTTTATATCACAAGTACATATTTCTGCCCCCCCTACTATCTGTTGTCTGTGTATCTGTCTTTAGCAGCTGATTTATACCACTTTGTAATTTGCTGTCTCTGTTCTTCTTTAAGTTAGTAAAGCAGATGGATCCCTGTCAATTAGCCTGTGTACAAGCTAGTACACGGGTTTTGGATGATGCCAGAATCAGGTTCATTGTTTACAAGTTCTTGGCTGAGCTCTGGATGTCTGTGCGTGTTAGAATATGTTGGGGAACAGAACAAAATCGTGAAAACCTAGAAAGCAGTAAATAATAATTACGTAAATTAAAAGAGTTCTATCTTGAGTGAATTTACCCTCTTCTTTAGATTGAAGCCACATTTTCCATCTTAAAAAACCTTCCTAAAGTTAGGGGAATATGTGATGAATGGAGAGAGTTGAGCTATTGGCAAAACTAAATTAATGGCTAGCTTAATTCCATGTGGGGTAGCTCTGGAACCCCTTATATATGTGTTATTACCCTAAACTGCCAATGAGTTAAGCATGTCTGGGTGAAGCCATGGAAGAACGAATGAGGAAGCAGATGGCTACAGGCTCTCACACCCACCCCATCTTCTCCATTCCCATCACACTAGTCTGTGGTCCAGTGTGTCTTCAATGTTTGTTCATCATGGACATTTCATATACATTCATGAGGAGCTTTACATCAGTCAAGACTTCTGTGAGTTGGGAATAGTCTGTAGATGGGATAAATTGAACTACAGACAATCTGACTAGCAGAACTACCTTTAATGTTTATATTTACCATTGTAAAAATGTTTTCCTGATAAAGATTAGAAAATGAAAAGCTTCTTGAGAGCAAAGCCTGCCTACAGGATTCCTATGACAACTTACAAGAAGTAATGAAGTTTGAAATTGACCAATTTTCAAAAAACCTCCAAACCTGCAAAAAAGATAATGAAACTCTGAAATCTGACCTGAATGTAAGTTAAGCAGGCTGTTGATTATTGATGAATTTGTCCTAGATGTGTTACTGATCACTGAAGAGCAGGTCAAGGACTGTTTTGACCTCTTCCTAACTTTCTATTACTGGCCCCTGGTGCCTGCCACATAGAAGGTACTTGATTGTTGACTACACATTGTTAGTAACAGTTACTTAAAATCTCATATAACATTGTCTTTTAGAATTTGATGGAGCTTTTTGAGGCAGAAAAAGATCGCAATAACAAACTATTATTACAATTTGAAGAACATAAAGAAAACAGTTCTAAGTGAGTGCTCTTTATCTTTTCCATTAGTTAACTAGAATATCATTTACTACTACATTCTTTATCTTGTGTTTTTTTATTGCTAACACCAGTAAAGCTATTTTTTTAAAAAAGCATTACAAAATAGATATCAGGTTCTTTTGTATAAATAGGTATGAAGAGAAATTTAATTTTCAAGACATTCAATAACTTGCTATGTATTAAAATGAATGCAGTTGGTGGCGATCAGAACTTAGGCCTTCTATAAACAAATCACAGTATTTATTATTGGAAGGTGGGGATGATTTTTATTTCTATCTGTACTATCATTTTTTTAGCTGCTCCTTTTTCCTCCCATCCCTTACTGTCAATGCTTTTGTCTTTCTTCCCTCTCTGAGTTCTTTTCCTTGGTGATCTGTGAATCTCTTGGCCTCAGCCAACAGGATGATTATTACTCTACTGAGAAGAATTTATGTCTCTTTATTCAACAGATACTTGTAGAGTTCTTACTCTGAGACAGATTCTCTTCTAGGCCCTGAGATACATACATATAGTGGATGTGTACATTTAGTTGGAAAATGGACAAATTAATTCATTTCATCATTCATTCAAACACTTAGTGATATTCAGTAAGCCAGGCACTATTCTGGTAAATGCCAGAATATTGAGAGGTAAAACGGTGAACAAAATATCCTATCCCCGTCCTCCTCAGTTTGACATCCTAGCATAGAGGGATAGGTAATAAACAAATACTAGGTGTTATATGTTATGTTCAGGAGTCCTAAGTATTCTGAAGAAAAATAAACTCTTGTGGCACACAACTGGGTTCTTATTAAATAGCTGTTGAAGAAATGAGTTCAAATTTCTGACTCCTATTGGAATATAGTGTCTGATACCAAGTATGTTTCTAATAAAGCTCAGTATAATTGCATTGAATCTCTTCTGTGTGAATGGACTCAGTTCCTTTTTCTACTGAACCAAGTTGTGAGTAAAAGGTGATTCTTTTCTTCCAGAGAAATCTTAGAAGTTCTTGAGGCTGTACGACAGGAGAAACAGAAAGAGATGGCCAAGTGTGAACAGCAGGTATACTCTATACCCTAACTGCAGTTTGAGGTCTGTAAATCTTATTCCTGATGTCTAAAGAGGCTTATGATAAAAACTTTCCACTTTCAAATGTTGAAATTGTTAATAAAAAGATGGATATTTTTGTTGGTTGTGTTATTTTTCAATTCTTGGCTTTTCTAACTCCCAGATGGCTATAATCAGAACTTGTTGGTGGTCTCCTAACAGAGACCACAAAGTCATTGTCTTTTAACCCAACTTACTATTTCCAAGTATTACTCCTAGCGTATACTGTATAATAAATGAAAAGCAGGTCTCAACTCCTTTTTAAAAAAAATGTATGTGTGGTTAACTGTGATTTCTTTTTCTAAAAATACTAATTTTTCCCCATAGATGGCAAAAGTACAAAAACTAGAAGAGAGTTTGTGTGCTACTGAAAAAGTAATCAGTTCTCTGGAGAAATCTAGAGAGGCTGACAAGGTAGGTAAAAGCTGAAGCTACATCTCTCTGTGTTTCCTTTAAATGCTGCTTTAACATTCCAGTCTCCTGTTACCAGGATGACTGATAGCTAGCATTTCTGTATGCACTAAGGCCTTGTTTGTCTTTCAAGATTGCCAGAGAATGTCTTCTCGAAGTGAATTCTCCATGTAACTTCAAGTGGAAACTTTTCTAACACCTTTGATGGCACTGTTTCTAAAACACATTCTGTCCGTTTTAACAAGGATGCTGTGTATGTGACCCATTTTTGTTGATACAAATTCTGTAATCCCTGGTATTGACTGTAAGGCTGGAGATACCAGAGGGAGAAGGGCGAGGATAACGCAGGCAGAGCAGAGACAGCACCAAGTAGCTCTGTGCTGTATGGGGAAGGAACAGCTCTTCCTGAATTCCAGTACAATGACGTGCTGACAAACCTGGGATGCAGACCCCTTCCATCCAGAAGGAGGAGACCTCTGGCTGTCCGTCACCCGACCCTGAGCCAATAAAAATTCCCCACATACCCCTAGCGGCACCACTTCCCCCTCTCCTGTCTTAAAAACTCCCCACCTCCCCTCCTGGGCGCGACTTCCCCAGCCTGTGTTTCAGACTGGTGAACCTCGCCCAGGAATTGCGCTCAAATAAACTGCCTGGCCCTTTGTTGCCTCTCGTCGCCTGCTTATTTTGGCTAGAATTAATCTTACATTGACCTTAACTAAGAATGATAAGTGTAATATGTATGTCCAAATATAAAATTAGGTTTAAGTTCCTTATATGTCTACTTATTCATTTAAAAAATGATTAAATAAATAGTATAAAACCATTAAAATATAAATAGATAATAATGTAATATCACATGATATTTTGCTAAAATAAAATTAATTTCTTCTTTTACTAGGAAAGATAAATGTTTTATCATTTAACAATGATCTATTTAATGTCATTGAAGATACTGTTTCTCTCCTTGTCAGGAAGTTGTAGCTGACCTCATGAGCCACATCCAGGAGCTAAGAACTTCAGTTTGTGAGAAAACAGAAATTATTGATACCCTGAAGCAAGAAGTAAAGGACATAAACGTAAGTTCTGTCACCAATAAGATACTAAATTTGAGCATGAAACTCACTTCTCAATTCCTGAAGACTTTGCTTGAGGAGACAAATGTTCACCAGAAAAAAGATTCTGTGATCCAGTTACTTTCTTTAGAAATACTAATTAAAGCTCAACAGGTTTGTGTATTTGCAGAACTTGTAGAACCTTTAATGTACTAACATATAGCATGTATCTGAGAAGCAATGTAGCATTTCTCAGATTGCATTGCCCTGAGGAACAGTGTCGTCTGTGTAGATTTGGGAATTGCTAGATCAGAAACAGACTGATTGTTGCCAGTGATAGTTAAGGGGGTATATGGTGTTCCTTAATTGCTTTAAGAAAAAACATTTTAAGTTTAGAGACATTTTTTAGAAAGTGAGTCTGTTTTAGCATTAGACTTGAGCATTTCCTAAAGTCATCACTTCTGCATATATCTAAGTTAAATGTTAATGTTCCTCCTTTCCCTTGGGTTAAGGTGGAGGCTTTTGTCAATACTCCTCACTCCTCTGCCCCAAAAGGGCTTACTGCATTCCACATTTATTTCTAAAAGCAGTCTCTGATAAAGATGGAAAACTAGATATTTTTTCAGTGACACCTGTGGACTTTTCCACTCATCTTCAGTATTCATGCATTTATTTTTCCATTCCTTTATTCAACAAGGAATAGTTACTGAATTAATTTGTGTTAATCTAGTCATTACCTTGGAACTCAGACTCTTAAGCTATTTTAATTTAAAAATAAACATAATAAAGCAGACAGCTCTTGCATCATGACTTTCTTTCCCACAGTTCCAATACAGCTCTGTTTTGGTTGACAAAGAAGAGAGCAAAGGCTTGATTAAGAGACAGGAAATGGAGATTCTGGACCTGAGAGAAACCATTAGACTGAGAATACTTTCTGAGGACATAGAGGTAGATATAACGCATCCTGAATTTTTGTTCTCCATTCCTTGTCAATGTGTATATGTGTGTATGGAGGTTATTAGTGAATAAATAGAAGATTTTTTAAAGGAATAAGAAATAATTAGAGCTATTTTTCTTAGGGTAGTTTGGGAATTAATAGAGAAGACTGAAATTGTTTTATTTTGTCTAGTTGATTTATTTTCATTCATTTGCACCAACACCATGCTAAGTTCCTGCACCTGACTATTCTGAAAGGGGAGCAGAGTGGAAACTGCATTTACCTTGGATCTAGTGGTAGCAGCAGGCAGCAAAGAAAGGGCTGCTTAACAGGTTAACCTTCGGGTTGTCACTTTGATGCCAGGGTTCTTGTTCATGAAGCTGAAGAATGAGCTTCACAGTCAAGGTAGGAGAGCAAGGTACAGGCTTTTATTTAGAGATAAAGTGAAAGAATAGAGCTACTGGCTCATGCCAGGAGGGGATAAGACAGTCCGTGATGGTGCGTTGTCTAGGGGTTTTATAGGCAATTGAGTATTTTTCGAGAACATCAAAAAAAAAAAACAGACTTAGGGGTGTGGACTTGTACCATCTGCCCTTGTCCTCAAGGTGGGCTGGGTCATAGTCTGAATGCTAGGGCTGATAGCGGAGTCATGGGTTATGATGATACAATTGCAGAACACTCAAACATTCCAGGCTAAGTTGCTCCCAGTCTTTTGACCTTTAACTGATCTCACTGAAGATATCTGTATCTTTACCCTAGAGAATTAGTGTGACCTTGATTTTGCATAATGCTTAACAGAGTTTCAGTGGGGACTTCTTTGCCCATTGTTAAATTGCTCTGACTAAATATTCTGCTCTGTTTTTCCTGGAGGCCCTCACCCTGCTCTTACTACACCCACGGTCCCTGTCTCAACTTGTGTTTTACCTAATGTAGGTTTTAATTTTTTGTTGTTGATGTAAATTTATCTTTAAAAAAAATTGTAGCACTGTCACATGATCTGCATTTCAAAATAAACAAAGCCATATGCATTCCCTCTTGCGTATCCTCCCAGAGCTATTTTAGACAAATCCTATACCTTTAGTTTTCCTTTTTTTACACAGATGGTAACCTACTGCTCTGCATTTGTTAGAAATAAGGTTCTATTGCTAAATTATGCTACCCATGTAACAAATTCAACAAATATATACTGGACAATGCCACCCACCCCACCATTACAACCTGTCCATGGCTTGGCATTTGGGAGTGGAAGATTGAAACACAACTCAAATCATGCAATTTAGCTTCAGATATAGATGTATTACAGTGTAATAAATGACCTGGAAGCACAGAACAGGAGGGAGGGGAGTAATACCTGGAGAATTCCAAAGAGTTTTCCAGAGGAGATTGCATTTATATGAGACTTGGCTAGGTAGGGAAGTTTAGCTGCTGTGAATGTTTGTGGAGCATCCCCAGCAAGGGGAATAGTGGGTGTGTCTGGCTAGAGGTGCAAGAGCTGAGGTGGGGACAGACTTGAGTCTGTGTAGTGAAAGGTCTTGAGTAGCATCAGATGTATCTTTTAGGAAACCAGAACTGCATAGACTTGAAGCCCAGGTAGAAGGTGGTAGGGTCAGAACTAAGATTTTAATAAGAGCCTTTGGAGATAGATATCCAATGTGGATATACCCAGTTATTTGTATTTATGTCCTCCCATATCCCAGAAAGGATTTGAAGCTGCTAACATGCATATAATGTATGAAGATTAAAATAGACAACTAGAATGAGAATCAAATAAGAGAATAACAACTTACTAAGATCACAGGCTCTGGAGTTGGACTGCTTAGGAGTCTGAACTCTGGTTATGTGACCTTGTGAAAGTGATGTCTTTAGGCGCTTCATTTATCACCTTTTAAGGTAGAGATAAAAGTACTGCCTGTCGCAAATGATGCTGTGGAGATGAAACGACATAATATATGCCAAGTGCTTAAACATGGCCTGGCACTGTGTAAGTGCTTAATCTATGTTAGCTGGGAATATTTTTAGGAGCTAATTGAATAGTTAGTACACAAAAGCCACACCTAAGGTCTTACACAAAGTATAAAATGTGGACCAAAAATTCAGTTCCCACTGTGCAGTTTATTGCCAGAGTAAGAAGATAAATCTAGCTGTTTAGGAGTAGCTGAATGATGAGAATTCATGGCAATTTATCTAAAAGCTCTTCCTTACATCCTTTGTCTCTTTCTGTCTCTCTCTCTCTTTCGTTTACCTCCTTAAAAAAAACTGGCTATGTATTTTGAAGTATCTTAGATTCAGGTGGGACTGACCCCATGAACAGCCAGTTCACATTCCCTTTCTAGTTATCTCCCATCTCTGTTAGCTGAAATCTAGACTTATGGTTATGGTATGTGAATCATCAAATTCTTTACATATCATTGCTTTTCAAGAGCACAAGTTCCCAACCAAGCAATAAAATGGGAGCAGTAAATAGGATACAAATATAAAAACTGAAATAAAATGATTATTTACAGGTGATATCATTGTCTATGTGGAAATGCCAGAGTATTGCCTGAATAATAGAATAATGAGTTTAGTAATCAGTTATGAATTAGTAAAAAATATCTTCACTGTGTATCATCAGTAACCATTTAAAAACATAATGGGGTTTAAAAAATCCCATTCTCAAAAATAACAAAAGAGTATCAAAACCTTAGGGAAGAATATGTAATAACTGTTACCTATGAACATGTAACCTTTCTAAGAACTATGAAAAGAAATTTTAAAAAAAAGAATAGCTTTGCTATATATCAGTAATCACCAGTTAAACATAAAGGGAATGGGGGGAACCTCAAGATGGTGGAATAGAAGGCAAGATGAAAACCTCCTACCACACACACACAAAGAGACAACTACAGCTAAACCTGGAAACTGCAGAACAGACTACCTATACTTAGGAGAGAAGAACAGACCACACAGAAAAGGTTAAAGAGGTAGAGCGTGACCAAGTGAGATCCCAACCCACAGGCAAGAGGAAGAGTAACATAGCAGGGAGGGGATAGGTGCCCAGGAACTCTACACACCTAACCCTGGAGATCTGCTCTGGGAACATGAATCCACATTGCATTGGGTTCTGGTGACTGGACGCCCCCCTGTGGAGGACAGGGAAGCTCTGCTGGTCCCACAGACCTAACACAGAGGCAGCAGTTAGAAAGACTTGCCAGCACTGGGAGAGGAGCTAGAGGGGCAAGGGTTGGATGGGGTTGTCTCTGTAGGAGAAAGGGCAGGTAGATGATACCTCCCTACCCTTTCCCTTGGTCCAGCAGGTTGAGCACTATCAGGAGCCTCAGGTGCTCCATCCCCCTTGCTGGCAGCTTAGCTCCAAGGCAGCTCCCAGTGTGCCACCAATGCACCACCCACTTGGCCCAGCAGCATCTGATTGTCTACCTGGCGGGCATAGGGAGATGCTCCCAGCTTTCAGGACCCTGTTTCAGCCCAACTGGGGAGACACCTGCAGGAGCTAGCTCTGAGAGCCCCTTCCAAAGGGTGTTCAAACTCAGTGCTGTGTGCCTTGCTGCTTCCAGGGTTTGCCTGTGGGAATCACTGCTGCAGCAGCTGTGTGTTGCTGTGGGGTGACTAGCTGCCTCCACGGCCCACGTGACCTCCCACTGACAGACCCACTACCCTTGCCCACCCCCACACTCCTGAGCTACCCATATAAGCGCCATCACTGGCTGCAGCATGCCATCCCAGCACACATGGAGTACCACCAATATGAACCTGAAGGCCCTTCCACTGCTCACCAGTGCATCCCTGGAACCACACATGTCCCGCTGCCACAGCGAGCCCTCAGGCCCTTCCACTGTGTGACTTGCCACCTAAACACATCTGTGTCCTGCCAGCATGCGATTTCATTGCTTCCACTGTGCGTACCACCACCACTAATGCATGCCCATGCACCATCTCATCATGTGGCTCACAGCCACTGCCAAGCATCCAAGGACTCAGCAACTGGGTGACTTGAACAAGCCCTTGCACCATACCATCATACAACTCGTTTTCTAACCTCCATTAACACAGCAGCCCCTCCATCACTGTAGGGCAGGCAAAGGGTGGCCTTGCCCAGAACAATCCCAGCAGAAACCACTGCTCTGATCACATAGGTCCTGCTGAAGCAAACCACTTGGCCTCAGCAGACTGAGATAAACCACTGCTGGCAAAGAGACAGAAAGACAGCCCTGCCAATTGCCCACCAACAGCAACTGGGGCTCCACAAAAAAGGAGAGGCAGGTATTGGAAAGCAGTCCTGAGCTTCTGAACACCACAGGATGCCTTCTTCATAAAGCCATTACTCCCTAGATCAGAAATCCTAGCAGACCCATCTAATTCAGTGGACAAAACACACCCTGACAAAATGAGGAGGCTGAGGAATATGTTCCAAACAAAAATACAGGATACGATACCAGGTAGAGGGCTAAATGAAATGGAGATCACCGATCTTCTTGATAAAGATTTCAAAGTAAAAGTCATAAATATGCCTACTGATCTGCAGATATGTATTAGAGACCTCAGGGAGGAGATACAAGAGCTGAAGAATGCAGTAAATGAAATGAAACACAAAATGGAGGGAATGAATAACAGATTGTTGCAAGTGAAGAGACAATAAAGGAGATGGAAATTAGACAACAGGAACAAAATGAGGCTGGGGAGCAGAAAGAGAAAAGGATCTCTAGGAATGAAAGAATGAAAAGACAGCTGTGTGATCAATCCAAATGAAACAATATTCACATAATAAGGGTACCAGAAGGAGAAGAGTGAGATAAAAGGATAGAAAATCTCTTTGAGGGAATAATTGTTGAAAACTTCCTCAATCTGGGGAAGGAAATAGACACTCAGGTTATGGAAGCACAGAGAGCCCCTATCACAAGGAACCCCAGGAAGACAACACCAAAACATAATTAAAATGACAAAGCTCAAGGATAAAGAGAGTATTGAAAGCAGCCAGGAGAGATAAAAGATTACTTTTAAGGAAAACCCTATT